CATATAAGAAGCTCAAGGAACTCCAAGAGGAATAAATGCATAGAGATCCATACCAAGACACATTATAATCAAACCATAAAAAGACAAAGAGAGGCTCAAAATCAGCAAAAGGAAGTGACTCCTCATGTACAAAGGCTCTGTAAAAGATTAATAACCCACTTTTCATCAGAAATCATGATCTCCAGAAGCCAGTATGATGACATATTTAAAGTAACGAAATAATTTTAAAAAAAAAAACCTGTTAGCCAAGAATCCTATATCTGGCAAAACTATCCTTCAAAAATTAAGAAGAAATTAAGATATTCCTAGATAAACAAACACTGAGGGAGTTCATTGCTAGTTGGCCTGCCCTACAAGAAATACAAAATACTTCAAGCAGAAGTGAAAAGACAGTAAATAGTATCTTGAAGCCATGTAAACGAATAAAGAACACTGATAAAGTAACTACATAGGCAAACACAAAAGCCAATATTATTGTATTATTGGCTCATAACTCCTATATGATTTAAAGAAAAATGAGTAAAATAATTATAAATCTATGTTAATGGGGCACACAATGTATAAAGATGTAATTTTTTCAAATCCTAAAGGGAGAAGGACAGATATATGGGGGCAGGATATTTTATACTGTAGAAGCTAGGTTAGTATTAATTCAGACTATATTAACTTCTTTAATGTATTATAATATAGTTTGAATTAATACTATTCAACACTTTTGCATCTTTAAATTTTTTCACAGTAGTATTTGGAAAAATAGGCCAGCTGTGGTGGCTCACATCTGTTATCCCAGCACTTTGGGAGGGTGAGGCAGGAGGATTGCTTGAGGCCAGGAGTTTGAGAACAGCCTGGGAAACATAGAGAGACCCTGTCTCTACATTTTTTTTTTTTAATCAGCTGGGTGTGATGGCACATTTCTGTAGTCTTAACTATGCAGGAGTCTGAGGCTGGAGGACCACTTGAACCCAGGAGTTCGAGGCTGCAGTGAGTCAAGATCACACCATTGCACTACAGCCTGGGTGACAGAATGAGACCTCATTTCAAAAAAGAAAAAAGATGTTAACTGTATTCCAAGGTTAATCACTAAGAAAATAAAATATGCAGAAAAGGGAATAAGAAGAAAATTTAAATGGTACACTACAGATCAGGCATGTGATTTATGCCTGTAATCCCAGCATTTTGGGAGGGCCAAGGTGGGTGGATCACTTTAGGTCAGGAGTTTGAGACCAGCCTGCCCAACATGGTGAAACCCCATCTTTACTAAAAATACAAAAATTAACTGGGCATGGTGGTGCATGCCTGTAGTCCCAACTATTTGGGAGGCTGAGGCATGAGAATCACTTGAACTCAGGAGGCAGAGGTTGCAGTGAGCTGAGATCACACCACTGCCCTCCAGCTTGGGTGACAGTGAGACCCTGTCTCAAAATGGAAACAAAAACAAAACAGGTATGCTACAAAAACGTCAAACAGAAAAGAAGGCATTAATCGAGAGACCTAGGAACAAAAAAGATAAGCCATGTAGAAAACACATCACAAAGTGAAAGAAGCAAGGCCTTTTCTAAATCAGGAATTAATTTAAATGCAAATAATTAAGCTCTCCAGTTAAAAGGCAAAAGTTGGCAGAATGGATAAAACAGCATGATCCAACTATATGCTGTCTATAAGAGACTTATTTGCAATCCAAAGACAAAAATAATGTTGAGTGAAAAAATGGAAAAAAAATTATTCCATGCAGGATGTAAAAAAGAGAACTGAGGTGACTGTATTAATATTAGACAAAATAGACTTTAGGTAAAAACTTGACGAGAGACAAACAATGATATTATATATTGACAAAAGAGTCAATGCATCAAGAAGATATAACGGTACAGATATTACACAGCTAGTCCCCAAATATACGATGTGAAAATTGATGGAACTGAAGGGAGAAATGGATATTTCTACAATGTTTTCAGACTTCAGTGTACCACTTTCAATAATGGATAGAACAACCAGACAAAAGATCAAGAATTAGAGGACTTGGAAAGACATAAACCAAACTCCTAGCAGATATATACAAAGCACCCCACCTAAAATCAGCAGAATACACATTTTTCTCAAGTGGTCATGAAACATTTTCTGGGATAGATCATACATTATGGCACAAAACAGGTCTCAATAAAAATTTAAAAAATCATGTATCAACAGAAAGATAAAGTCATATGAAATGTTCTCAGGTCACAAAAAAATGAAACGGGGAAATCAGTAATGAGAAAAACTGGAAAATTCACAAATGTGTGGAAATTAAACAGCACACTCATAAAAACCAGTGGGGATAGAAGTTACAGGGACGTTAGAAAATACTTTGAGATGAAAACATGATTCAGAATTCCTTTGGTACTAAAATAATAAAATTCTGCTGACTGAACTAAAAAAATTGTAGTAGAAAATATCGAAGACAGTTTCCTACCCATCCTATACACAATACCCACCCCCTATAACTTAAATAAAACAGAACAACTTTCTCCTTTCTAGAGAAAACCACATTGGAAAGAAAGTCTCTGCAAGAAGTCTTGATACACGTGCTTTTACAAGGCTGTTAGATATTACTTCATTTTGGATTCCACATTGACTTGATCTGTTGATGATCATTCTATTGTATTTATCATCTCAAGAGCAAGCTGAGTGGATATAAAAAATATATAAGTTGAAATAAGAGAAGAAGCATTTTCAAGATATAATTTAGGTGTTTTTTTTGCAAATTACAATACAGTTGGCCCTTGAACAACACAGGTTTAAACTGCATGGGTCCACTTACATGTGAAAAAGCTCACAGATAAGCCATGTAGCCTAGAAATATCAAACAATTAAGAAAAATGTAGGTATATCATGAATGCATAAAATATATGTAGATATTAGTCTATTTTATCATTTACTACCATAAAATATATATGAATTTATTATAAAAAGGTAAAACTTATCAAAACTTACACACACAAACACAGACTGTACATTCACAGTGAAGAGAAATGTAAAACAAAGATGCAATATTAAATCAAAACTGCATAAAGTTAACTGTAGTACATGCTGCACTACTGTAATAATTTAATAGCTATCTCCTGTCACTATTGTGGTGAGCTCATGTGTGTGAATATCTGCTTAAAATTCCAAGTGATGCTAATCATCTCAAAATGAGCAGTTCATCTCTCCAGTAAATTGTATATTACAGTAAAAAGTGATCTCATGGTTTCCTCTTATTTCTTATTATGTTTAGTGCAATACCATAAATCTTGAATAATACCATGGGACCTATGTGAACTGCCACTAGTGATGTTGGAAGTGCTCCTAAGATGCATAGAAAAGTCATGACATTATAAAAGTTGGATTGCTTGATATGTACTGTAAATTGAGGTCTGAAGCTGCAGTTGCCTGCCATTTCAGAAAGACAGTTTCTTAAACAGATGGTGTAAACTTACAGTATCAATACAGTACAGTACTGTAAATGTATTTTCTCTTTCTCTTGATTTTTTCTTCTTCTTTTTTTATTTTTAGATGGAGTCTCGCTCTGTCGCTCAGGCTGGAGTGCAGTGGCACAATATTAGCTCACTGCAACATCTGCCTCCCGGGTTCAAGCAATTCTCCTGCCTCAGCCTCTGGAGTAGCTGGGATTACAGGCATATGCCACCAAGCCCAGGTAATTTTTGTATTTTTAGTAGAGATGGGGTTTCACCATGTTGGCCAGGCTGGTCTCAAACTGCTGACCTCGTGATCTGCCCCTCCTTGGCCACCCAAAATGCTAGGATTACACGCATGAGCCACTGCACCTGGCTCCTCTTGATTTTCTTAGTAACATTTTCTTTTCTCTAGCTTATTTCATTGTAAGAATATAGTATATAATACATGGAACATACAAAATATGTTTTAATTGTTTATGTTATCTATAAGGATTCTGTTTAATAGAAGGCTAGTAGCTGTTTTTTTGAGAGTCAAAAGTTTTACGTGCATTCTTTTTAACTTTTTTTTTTTTTTTTAAGGTTAGTCAAGTGAAGCAGTTGGAGTGAAGAAGGAACAAAGAAATCTGGAACTGGTTGTGATCACCAGTTGTAACACTACTGCACCCAAATCAGCCTATAGATGCATTTTTGACTGTGATGGGGGTGACTGTCCCAATCCCAGAGTTATTCAAGGGTTGACTGCATTAATTCTTCCAATCAATAAATATGGAATATCTTTCCATTTTTCTGTGTCATCTTCAATTTCTTTCATCAGTGTTTTATAGTTATCAACCTGGAGTTCTTTCACTTCCTTGGTTAAGTGTAGTCCTAGGTATAATTTTTTTGTTGTGTTTGTAAATGGAATAGTTTCTTGATTTCTTATTTTAGATAGTTCACTGTTAGCATATTTCCTTCACTTCCCTGCCAGCTCCTTTCATTTGCCAAAAATCCCTGTATTTCAAAGTGATCAATTAAACCCAACAAAAATGAGAAAATTTTGTTGTTCTGTGACCCGATCAAAGGTTACTTTTCCTTCTTGTGAGTCTTTAACATCTTTGAATTGCTCATGATAGATATCATTGTCTAGATATATCCAGGCACATGTAAAGAATGCAATAAGATAAAAAAAAAAGTTTGAGATTCTCTGTTCACCTTTCTCTCTATACAGCCACATTTACTTCATTTTTTAATTTTCTTTTTTCTTTTTTTTTTTTTTTTGCCTCTCCACTCTTTGAAACAGCCACATTTAACTTTCCAGTCACACTTAGTTGTAGTGTCACTTTAGAAAGGAAACAAAGAAAACAGAACAGGGAAGGAACAGAAAAATAAAGGTCAAGCGCTAATAGCCCCTGACAACAGTTAAGTGAATCCACTTACATATTTAAAAATAAATAAATTATTTAACGTGGCAAGGTCTGCCTTGCGGAAGATTTTAGGAAGCGTAATACGTGAGAACCAGGTAGCTAAGACTACTTCCGTTTGACGGGGCGGGACGGTAGCCTGTTTCCGCTCGGGCATTCTGGGAAGTGTAGTGCAGGAGTCGTTGCAACCTTGTGCACTTCCGCTGCAGGAGGGCGAGGCAGCCGTCATCAATCCCCTCTGGGAGGTGAGTCAGCGCGGAACCTCTGCATCTACAGCGAGCTTTCCTGGCCTGGGCGTGGGACTCGCAGGTGCCTGCCTTCGCCCTCAGTAAAGAGAAGCCACAGAGGGCGGGGTCGATGTTTTGCTTGCTCTTTGCTTTTAGGGCGGTGCATGGGTCTCCAATTTGGGAATGGCTCCTGGTCGCACGTCTGGTTTGAGGGTGTCCTGGGCGCTCAAGTTCCCTGGTTTTCCCCACCTTCCACACGCTCTGCCGCCCTCTGGCAATATAATCTTGGCATATAATTTCTCCGTTTCTCCTCTGTAAAGTGAATTTCATAGTAGTACCTATCTGGTAGGAGTTTCGTGAGATTTACGTAAGATAGACGTAAAAATGCTTAGGACCGATCCTGGCACACACTGAAAAGGTGGCTGGTTGTTGCCAATCTCTTATTTCTTCCCGGAGAGGAGAGGCGTTCAGTCTCTGAAAGGTTCTGTGAGCCCGCGGTGGGTTCTGAGCTCCAGGTGCAGCGCCACTCACCCTTCTCTGATCCTTGCACTCCGCGGGGCTGTTCCTGGCTTCCTAACGGGGGGAGGGGGGCGTCAATTTTCTCTCCATCTTTTTTATTTTTCCTTCTCCTTTAAGGCATGAGTGTGTCTCACCTCCATGTGGTGCCTGGGGATGTCCACTGTCATTCATCCTGGACCAGAAACACAGTTTGGATATCTTCCAACCCCCTTTCCTTCCTCAGCCCTGACTAACCGGAGGGCTGCAGAGAGGAGGGTGTCGACCCCCTGACTCTTTGTAACATTGTCCCAACGTGAGAGGACTTAATACATGCTATTGCTATTTCTGCTCAGTTGGAGAACAGATTTCCTTCACTCATTAGCAATATTATTTTTCCTGCTGGGCAAAAGCTCAAATATTTATGGAATAAACGGGAGGTTGGATTAGGCATGTGTTCATGAATGAGTAATAATTGTTAATACAATGAGTGCCAGGGTCTCTTCTATAGGCTTTACATGCATTAGTTAGCTTAATCTTCATAACAATGATAATATTATCATTCCTATTTTACAGATGACAACACTGATGGGTAAAATATTTATCTTCCCAAAGTAAAACAACAGGAAAGAGCCTGAACTGGGAGTTTGAGCTCAGGCAGAGTGGGTTCTTGAACTTTGTGCCACACTCTCCTTCAGCCCTGAGAAATGTCAGTTCCATGGGGGTGCAGTGGCTCATGCCTGTAATCCCAACACTTTGGAAGGCTGAGGCAGGAGGGTGGCTTGAGCCCAGGAGTTCAACACCAGCCTGGGCAACATAGTGAGACTCCATCTCTACAAAAAAAAATTAAAAAATTAGCTGGATGTGGTGGCACACACCTGTGGTCCCAGCTACTCGGAAGGCTGAGGTAGGAGGATCGCTTGAGCCCAGGATGCAGAAGTTGCAGTGAGCTGAGATCATGCCACTGAACTCCAGCCTGGAAAAGAGAATGAAAGTGTGTCTCAAAAAAATTAAAAATAAAAATAAAAAGAGGAAAAGAAATGGTTTCACAGCTTAGGCAATGACTGGGAGATGCTCAAGAGTAATAATCAAAGAAAAAATTTTTAAAGGACTTGCAGGGAAGAACTCTGAGGAGATGACATTTGAGTAAATACCTGACACTGCTATTAAAATAAATAAATAGATAGGGTTTACATTATCCACAATCTATGACCCTTTTATGAATGATTTCACTTTTTTTTTTTTTTTGAGATTGAGTCTCCCTCTGTCTCCCAGGCTGGAGTGCAGTGGCACGATCTCAGCTCACTGCAACCTCCCACTCCCAGGCTCAAGCGATTCTTGTGCCTCAGCCTCCTGAGTAGCTGGGATTACAGGTGCCTGCCACCATGCCCGGCTAATTTTTATATTTTTAGGAGAGACAGGGTTTCACCATGTTGGCCAGGCTGGTCTCGAACTCCTGACCTCAAGTGATCCACCCACCTCAACCTCCTAAAGTGCTGGGATTACAGGCGTGAGCCACTGCGCCCGGCTTAATGATTTCACTTTTAAGGATGACCTTGATGTTAATTGAGCAAAGCAAATGAAATTAAAAAGCAAGAAGAAATTGACAGATAAAGTTCATCTTCTCCTCCCAATTAGGAATAGCCTCAGAATTTTGTAGCTCAAGAGAATCTTGGAGATCAATTAGTACAATCCTTGTCTGTGTGTCCTTCTTTGATTCCGTGTGCATCAAATACTCACTATACTCTAGGTGCTTGGGATAAAAAGATGAGTAACTGTTCATTATCTCACAGGCAAAACAGATGCTTGATTTACTAATTATACCCCAAATGCCCCAGCTACTCAGAATGCTTCCAAGAGGAGGGATTACAGAGAAGGACAGGGAAGCTGGTCCTCTCTGGAGGCAGAGTGGCAGGAGCAAAGGCACGAGAGGACTTGACAACCTAGGAATGAACAAAGTCTGGAAATTCAGGCCTAGAAAAGTGGCCCTGGTACATATAGTGAGCAGAGCTGAGCCAGGCACTCCAGACCCCATTTGCTTTTTTCTACTAAATGTTGTGAAATGTCAAGTCTTGCAAAATCCTGTTACTGAGCAGAGCAGGAGGGTGCAGGGAAATATAGGACCAGAACAAAGGGAATTGGATGTTAAGAATTGATCTCTCCCTAGCTTTGAGAAGAGAATACATTGCTCTTTTCCCTACTAGAGTGTTTCTGCCTGAAGTAGGAGGAGCCGTGAACGGGAGTAGCTATCTGTATTGAACGCTATCTTGTATATACTCACTGAAACCTCTTAATAACCCTACGAAGTAGATGCTGTTGTTGTCCTCACTTTATGGGCAAGGAAACAGGCACAAAGAGCTAGTACGTCAGAAGAGTCAATTAGGATATTAGGTTCCTCATCATCTGGCTCCAGTATCTCTCAGCAGATCATTTTCAGCAGTTCACACCCTCCAACTCCCCTTTCTCTGATCTCTAAGACATGACTCCTTCCATGTCTTCATATTTCTGATTAGAGAAGGAGACACGATTAAGAGACAGGCTCCGGACTCAGCTGGATTTAGATGCAGTCTCACCTCACCAGCTGTGTGACCTTGGGTAACTTAATCTCAGTAATCCTCAGCTTCCTCATCCACTAAATGGGAACAACAGTCATCATGTCATCACTTACTGAGAGCTTATATAATGTGCCCGACACTGAATCAAGGCTTTTCCCCACTATTTTAAAAATTGAGTCATAATTCATATACCATATAATTCACCCTTTTAAAGTGTATAATTCGGCGGCATTTAGTGTATTCACAATGTTAGGTTGTACAACCATCACTATTTTCTAATTCAAGAACATCTGTATCACCCCCAAAAGAAACCTCCTATTCCCTAGCCATCATTCTTTACTATCTCCTCTCTCAGCCTCTGGCAACTATTAATTTATTTTTTGTCTCTATGGATTAGCCTAGCCAAGACTATTTGATTTGCTCACTTAATCCCAAAAGCAACTCTGTAGATTAGGATCTATTATTAGTACTACAGTATTTTTCACTTAAGTGAGACACATACTGTCAAACTTTCATTCAAAATTAGAAAAAACAATCGCAGAGACACATTTTAAATTAGTATTTCCTTACGACAGTGAGCATGGGAAAGGGAGATACACCACTAAGACTCCTGTCTACATGAAGAAAATTCATAAATATTTATACCTTTCATAAAACTGAACACTGATATCAATTAAATATTACAGGACACCAAAGTAGTAAGTAATGTAGCCAATCAGAATTATAGACTTTTCAGAGGTAAAGGTGAATTTCATAAGATAAAGCATTGTACAGTCTTTGAAATCTGGATGTTATAAAAGACTCTTTTGTTGGAAATGATGGCAAAAGACATTTGTAACAACAATTTTATGATGCATAATATCATCTGCTTTTGTGCAACTACAGGGAAATCATTTATAAGAGTTTCCATCTGGCCGGGCGCGGTGGCTCAAGCCTGTAATCCCAGCACTTTGGGAGGCCGAGACGGGTGGATCACGAGGTCAGGAGATCGAGACCATCCTGGCTAACACGGTGAAACCCCGTCTCTACTAAAAAATACAAAAAACTAGCCGGGCGAGGTGGCGGGCGCCTGTAGTCCCAGCTACTCAGGAGGCTGAGGCAGGAGAATGGCGTAAACCCGGGAGGTGGAGCTTGCAGTGAGCTGAGATCCGGCCACTGCACCCCAGCCTGGGCGACAGAATAAGACTCCGTCTCAAAAAAAAAAAAAAAAAGAGTTTCCATCTGTTCACACATTTGACCCTTATAATAATCTTGCAAGAAAGCACTATTTTTCTCATTTGCAGGTGACAGATTTGAGGAATGGGGAGGTTAATGAGCTTAAAGAGTTAGTAGCCAAGCCAGGATTTGACCCCAGACCTTGTGACCCCAGAATCCACTTTTGTAGCAAGTACATTCTGCTGCCTTTCATTTCCCACAGTGTCCAGTATGAGAATGATAACCCTGGAAACTACAAAGGGCTCTTATGTTAGGCTTGCTACTTAGAATCGGGCAGGTTGTTTACTGCAGAAGGGCCCCTGGCTGAGCGGCTAGTGATATGTGCTGAAGAAAGGGTTTTTTTTTTTTTTTTTTGAGACAAAGTTTGGCTGTATTGCCTAGGCTGGAGTACAGTGGCACCATCTTGGCTCACTGCAACCTCCACCTTCCAGGCTCGAGCCATCCTCCCACTTCAGCCTCCAGAGTAACTGGGATTACAGGTGTGTGCCACCACACCCGGCTAATTTTTGTATTTTTTTGTAGCGATGGGGTTTCGTCATGTTGCCCAGGCTAGTCTCGAACTCCTGAGGTCAAGCAATCTGCTTGCCTCGGCCTCCCAAAGTGCTGGGATTACAGGTGTGAGCCACCGTGCCCGGCCACCTTTTAAAAATTCACCCAGGATGGCCACGTGGGCTATGGCCTATTTCTCATGGCTTCTTTCTTTTCCCAGTTCTGCCTTCGCAGGACCCTGCCCTTCCCTGGAAGGAGCAGGAGAAAATGACCAAGTTTCGGGTGAGTTGAGTTTTGATTTTTATCTCTTAAAATGACATCTCTTTCCCTCAAAAATTAGACACTTTTTTTTCTCTCTTTCTTGAGAAAGATAAAGGAGGAAAACAGGTATTTGGGATCTGCTAGTTACTTGATTGTCGATTGGTTCAATTTTTTGTTTATGTCTTTAGCTTTTGTTTTGTTTTTAGTTTTGGTAGTTTATCTTCTTTATTTCATAAGTAGTGGTACAAAAATTCATAGATATCAAAAAATGGGAGAAAAGTCCACATTACTACACTAAAATACAAATCATCTATTTCCTCCATACTATTTTATATGTATTTACATATTGTGTGTCTTATATGTATACTTATCAGTGTATTTTACAGAACTACAGTCGCATTCTATATATAATTTTCTTTTTTCAGTTAATGTTATCACTAGAGTTTTGTATGATTTAGTGTTTCTTTATGTATTTGTCTGAGAAGGGTTTTCATTTTGTGTCTAATTTTTCAGAGGCTATGAACAAACATACACAATATTGTGTCTCTAAATGTTATTTCAATTTGCAATACTTTTTCATGAGGCTTTAAAAATGCAATATTTACTTACAAAATTACATATCTCTTAAGTGGTCAGGTCAATAACAGTTGTATATCCCACTCTGACAGTTGTATAATTGCATTAGCCCACCACTCAGAACAAGATATAGGACACTTATATTACCCCAAAAAGGTCCCTCCTGTCTCTTTCAAGTTAGTTCTTTACTCCCCAGAGGCATCCTCTGTTATCCCTCAGCTGAGGCCCTAAAGTCCATTGTGTCATTCTTATACCTCTGGATCCTCATAGCTTAGCTCCCATTTATGAGTGAGAACATACGATGTTTGGTTTTCCATTCCTGAGTTACTTCATATAGAATAATAGTCTCCAATATCATCCAGCTTGCTGTGAATGCCATTAATTCATTCCTTTTTATGGCTGAGTACTATTCCATCATATATATATATATATATATATATATACACACACCACAGTTTCTTTTCCCTTTTTTTTTTTTTTTTTTTTTTTTTTTTTTTGAGACAGAGCCTTGTACTGTCGCCTGGGCTGGAGTGCAGTGGTGTGATCCTGGCTCACTGCAATCTCTGCCTCCCAGGTTCAAGCAATTCTCCTGCCTCAGCCTCCCGAGTAGCTGGGATTGCAGGCACTTGCGACCACTTTTTTGTATTTTTAGTAGAGATGGTTTCACCATGTTGGCCAGGCTGGTCTCGAACTTCTGACCTCAGGATTCACCCGCCTCAGTCTCCTAAAGTGCTGGGATTACAGGCGTGAGCCACTGTGCCTGGCCACACAGTTTCATTATCTACTCATTGATTGATGGGCATTTGGGTTGGTTCCACATTTTTGCAATTGCAAATTATGCTACTATAAACATGCATGTGCAAACACCTTTTTCGGCGTTGGTACTAAATTGACCCAACATTTCTAGGACAATTTCGTAGTATCAGTCAAGTTATAAAATACATATTCCGTGTGAGTCAAGGTTTACAGTGCTGGGGCATTTACTGCTGGAATACTTACAAATGTCACCAAATACACAGGGGTTATTTTTTAGTAGCATACACTTTTGATGTGACTGTGGAAAAGGAGTCTATGAGACTGGCATGTGGGATGGAGAAAAGGAGGAAGCTACTTAAAGTTGATTTGAGGCCTTCACAATCCAGAACATTTTCCTGCCTGTTCTTTCTACCTGCTTAGTGCTGCCTCTCTCCCAGTAGATATTGGCCATCAGATTGAGATTACATCTGCTTGATGTTGTAGGGGATGGTGACATTCAAGGATGTGGCTGTGGTCTTCACCAGGGAGGAGTTGGGGTTGCTGGACCTTGCCCAGAGAAAGCTGTACCAAGATGTGATGCTGGAGAACTTCAGGAACTTGCTGTCAGTGGGTAAGCACAAGCACCTCAAATTGTAACTGAAAGTCAGCCCTCTGGACCGTCCTGCTTTCAATTATTTAAGACTTTGAGATGCTTAAAATGCTTCCCTGAACTTGGGGATGTGAATTTCCTAATTCCCCAGGGATACCTTGTCTATACTTTGTCTATTTTTCTCAAACTGCTGTTGTGAAATCTTGGTGGGCTTTGAAATCAGTTGGTGAGTTATAATGTGTTTAATGAAATGAAGTAGAAATATTATAGCTCCTTGTCAAGAACTGCACTCAGCGCAGCAAAAATTGTAAGCAGAAACAGGAAAGATGTGATCAAAGTAGACAATGGATAGGATCAGATTATCTGATCACTTGATTCAGTGATTGACACTTATGTATTTGTGTACCGGATCACAAATTAAAAGGTATTCAGATAGCAGTTCATGATCACAATTTTGAAAAATACTACTTAGAGCGCATGAAGATGGTAGTGTTGGAATTAAAATTTTTTACTATAATGCATTCACTTTATATATATGCCATTTCTTTTTCATAGGCTATCACCCCTTCAAACTAGATGTGATACTACAGTTGGGAAGAGAAGACAAGCTTTGGCTGATGGAGACAGAAATCCAAAGAGATGGCTGTTCAGGTGAGAACCATGCAGCTCTGAGTCTTTGCACGGTACAACCCAGTCCTCTCCTCCTCACCACCTCCTAGGCCACCAGCCTGGCCCAAGCCCTCAGCATTCATCACCCCGGTTTACTGCAGCAGCTTGCACATGACCTTCCTCCTTCTGCCTCCCTCCAGTCCCTTCTCCACATAGCAGCCAGATCATGTAAGTCAGATCATGTTGCTCCTTGGCTCAAAACCCTTCTGCGACTTCCCATCTCACTCGTTAATTCCGAAATCTGTATGAGCCTTCAGGGTCCTATGTGACCTGGCCACCCACTCCCTGTGAATTTATTTCCTATCCTTTGCCTTTCACTCACTTCTTTCCAGCCACACAAGACTGCTGTGTGTTTCTTATACATGCCCAGTGTGCTTTTGTTTTTTATGTTTTTTTAAAGACGGGTCTCATTCTGTGGCCCAGGCTGAAGTGCAGTGGTGCAATCATGGTTCACTGCAGCCTCGACCTCCCGGGCTCAATTGATCTTCTCACCTCAGCCTCCTGAGTAGCTGGAATGGGACTACAGGCACATGCCACTAAACCAGGTTAATTTTAAAAATACATACATATATTTTTTATATATATGTATGTATTTTTTTGGTAGAGATGAGGTCTTACCATGTTACCAGGCTGGTTTCAAACTCCTGAGCTCAAGCAATCCTCCCACCTCAGCCTCCCAAAGTGTTAGGATTACAGGCGTGAGCCACTGTGCCTGGCCTGCATGTATTTCTCTCTACCTGAAGCCCTGCTGTTCTGTCTGCATGGGATGTTCTTACCTCATACATCCTCTTGGCTCCCTACCTACTTCCTTTGTGTCTGGTCAGATGTCATCTCATCATAGAAACATCACAGAAACCTGCTTTGACTACCCTGTTTAAAATACCTATCCTTGGTTGGGCGGGATGGCTCATCCCTGTAATCTCAGCACTTTGGGAAGCCAAGGTGGGAGGATCACTTGAGGCCAAGAGTTTAAGACCAGCCTGGACAACACAGCGAGACCCCACCTCTACAACAAATAAAAAAATTAGCTCGCAGTGAGCTATAATTGTGCCACTGCACTGTAGCCTGGGTGACAGAACAAGACCCTGTCTCAAAAATAAATAAATACATTTAATTAAATACCCATCTCTTTATTCTGCCTGACTTTGTGATTAACCATCAATCACCAGCTGACATATTCATGTATTATATTTTGTTTACTTTTTTATGATCTCTTTCCCCACTAGAGTGTAACTTCATGAGTGTAAGAATTTTACCTGTTTTCTTTTCATTTTTCTTTTTCTTTTCTTAGAGATGGGGGTCTGGCTTTTTCACCTAGGCTAGAGTGCAGTGATACAATCATAGCTTGCTGCAGCTCAAACTCCTGGGCTGGGACTACAGGAGTACACTACTGTGCCCAACACTAATTTTACCTGTTTTAAAATTGCTGATCCTTATTGCCTTTCATAGGCTTGGCACATAGTACACGTTCATTCAATATTTGTTGAATGAGTGACTGAATGGGTTAATGGACTGATGTCAGTAACGTCAGTTAATGGACGAATGGATAGGTGTTTTCATTTGAATAGTAGTGAAATGGCTCCCTCACAGCTCTCCCTAACCTGTGTTATCTGCGTGACCTTTGGTGAGAGTTGCCTTATCCATACACCCAGGGACAACCTCCCTGCGCTGCTTTCACCCCTCTCCTTCTATTCTTTCTCTTCCTTATTTCATTCCCCCTTTTCTTCACTCCTTCCTTCATTTATCTTTAATTTGAATATACATCATAAATACCTAAAATATACGAATTAAAGTCATTCCTACTTGACTTTACCCACCAAAACCCAAAACTAAATCAAACAAACAAAAAAGCAAACCAAAAACCCAAGAGAATCTCTCTGCTTAGCTGAGAGAGACAGACCCTGGATTTTGGAAGTAGCTGGGGTAGTAAAATCTTTTCAATCTTATCTTTTATTTTCTTGTATCTCCATGCTGCATGGAAGTTTACTGCATTGCAATCAGGAATGTTGGATGCTGACTTCTTTGGCTGACTGCCTCATTTTTTAAAATTTTCTTTTTTTTGTTTCTGACTGCCTCATTTTTGTGTACAAACCTAAACTTGGGAATTTGATCCCAGTTATTGCCATTGTCCTTTTTTTTTTTTTCTTAATAGGTAGCTTCCCAACTTCTTCTTTGCCTCCTTGAGCAAATCTTTACTTTTTTTTCTTTTTTTTTTTTTGAGATGGAGTCTTGCTCTGTCGCCAGGTTAGAGTGCAGTGGCACAATCTCGGCTTACTGCAACCTCTGCCTCTCAGGTTCAAGCGATTCTCCTACCTCCGCCTCCCAAGTAGCAGGGACTATAGAAGCTCGCCACCACACCTAGCTAATTTTCGTATTTTTAGTAGAGATGGAGTTTCACCATGTTGGCCAGGATGGTCTCCACCTCTTGACCTTGTGATCTGCCTGCTTTGGCCTCCCAAAGTGCTGGGATTATAGGCATGAGCCACCATGCCCAGCCACAAATCTTTATTTTTTTTTTTTAATTTTTGGCCAAATTTTTATTGAAATATATACAGAAAATTGTACAAATTGTAAGTGTATAGCTCCCTAAATTTTCAGAAAGTAAAATGGCTTGTTTTACAGTTCTTTTTTACTGAGTTAAAATTTACATGTGCACACCTTAAGCGTGCAATTGGATGAGTTTTGACAAAAGGATATAACTATGTAACTTACAGCCCTTGGAAAACTGAACAAATCTGACAGTGTATTCTACCCTTACCTCTCTTCAGAGTGAACATCAGACTTTTTCAGGGTTTCACACTCTGCCTGTCCATCTAGGTACCCAGCTCCACCTACACAAAATATTCCTGAGGTCTATTTTCACTGGACAGAAGTACAAATTAAAGGGCATCTTCTCCCTCAAGGATCAATAAACAAAACCTTACAGAGAAGGGTGCTGAGTGGATCTCACCATCTTTACTTCTCCTGGAGAAAGTTCACAGGCAGGGAATAAAGAGGTGTCATTAAAGGACTATTTCAGCACATAGTTACTCTTCTGACGTATGTTCAGCCTAGTTATAATTTTTATGACACCTATGTTAGTCATCAATTATTGTATAACAAATTACTGTAAAACTTAGCACCTTGGCCAGATGCGGTGGCTCACACCTGTAATCCCAGCACTTTGGGAGGCTGAGGCAGGCAGATCACCTGAGGTCAGGAGTTCGAGACCAGCCTGGCCAACATGGTGAAACCCCATCTCTACTAAAAATACACACACACACACACATTAGCCAGGTGTGGTGGCGGCTGCCTGTAATCCCAACTACTGGGGAGGCTGAGGCAGGAGAATCACTTGAACCCCGAAGGCAGAGGTTGCATTGAGCTGATATCATACCATTGCACTCCAGCCTTGGGAACACGAGCGAAACTTCGTCTCAAAACAAAACAAAAACCTTAGCACCTTAAAACAACGAACACTGGTTTACAGTTTCTGTGGGTTAGGCATACGGGAGCAGCTTAGCTGAGGGGTTCTCGCTCAGGATCTCAAAAAGCTGTTGTCAAAGAGTGACGCAGCTGCAGTCCCCGGAAGGCTTGACTGGGACTGAAGGACCTGCTTCCAAGGTGGGCTCGTTCACATGGCTGTGGCAGGAGGCCTCACATCCTTGCTAAGTGAGCCGTTCCCTAGGGCTGCTGAAGTGTCCTCAAAACATGGCAGCTGGTTCCCCCCAGACCCAGTGATTCAGGAGAGAGGAAGATAGAAGCACAGTGTTTTTATGACCTAGCATCAGAAGTGACAGATCATCACTTCTGCCATATTCTATTGGTTTCACAAACCAAGCTTGATACAGTGTGGGAGGGGACTTCAAAAGGGAGTGGATTCCAACGGGGAGTGATCACTGGGGACCATCTTGTATTAGCCATTTAGGTTTATCAGAAAATTCAGTCAAACCAAGTGGCAACAATTTTCAATGCCTTTACTCTCCTATAGGGTGTGTCAGCTATGGGAATATGTTTTCTCCTTTTTTTTTCACTTATCATGTTCACTAATTGAATATTATATACTTAGAACCTCATTGAAAAGGAGAATTCTCCCAAATCTAGCTCATCAAATGTATATTTTAAGAACTAAATTAAGGAAATAATGGTACTATCTTATGGGTTCATTCTCAAGACAGAGAAGATATTTTTCTATATTCTCTTCACTTTTGCCAAAGATTCTCTTTCTCTGAGAATTCTTGGCATCACTTAATAATCCACTTGTAAATGCTGAAGGAGAGATTCAGGCTTTTCTAACCATTTTGGACTTTTTATCATATACAGATGCAGGTTGTACAATGTAACCATGATTCTGAGGCTTACATATAGCCAGGATTTTGTAGATTTTATACATCTGCCATGGAAAAGAGGAGAGGATTTTTAAGTGATTATTCTAATGGACAAGGAGGTAAAGTTACTCTTCTATAACATCTTTCTAGGACATCTTTTTGTTGCTCTGTATGTGTATTTGACCACATACATAAGTCTTGGTATTGGCCAGGCATGGTGGCTCACACCTGTAATCCCAGCACTTTGGGAGGCCAAGGCAGGCAGATGACTTGAGGTCAGGAGTTCAAGACCAGCCTGGCCAACATGGTGAAACCCTGTCTCTACTAAAAATACAAAAAAATTAATGGGGTGTGGTGGCATGCACTTGTAGTCCCAGCTCCTCCAGAGGCTGAGGCGGGAGAATCACTTGAACCCCAGTGGTGGAGGTTTCAGTAAGCCGAGATCATGCCACCACACTCCAGCCTGGGTGACAGAGTGAGATTCCGTCTCAAAAAAAGAAAAAAACAAACAAAAACAAAACAATCTTGGTATAGCTCTAAATGAGTCTCATTAACATTTTGTATATAGAAACCAGCCTTTTTTGTTCCCATAGGCATGAAAAAAACCAATGATAGGCCGGGCACGGTGGCTTGTAATCCCAGCACTTTGGGAGGCCGAGGCGGGCAGATCATGAGGTCAGGAGATCGAGACCATCCTGACTAACACAGTGAAACCCCATCTCTACTAAAAATACAAAAAAAAGAGCTGGGTGTGGTGGCGGTTGCCTGTAGTCCCAGCTACTCGGGAGGCCGACACAGGAGAATGGCGTGAACCCAGGAGGCAGAGCTTGCAGTGAGCCGAGATCACACCATTGCACTCCAGCCTGGGCGACAGAGCATGACTCCGTCTCAAAAAAAAAAAAGAAAAAAAAAAAACCAATGATAAAGTCAAGCTGAATTCTCCACTGGTTTATTAAGGTTTCCCAGTGTGGTCAACCTGTGAAATGTTTTTTATTTCTGAACAAATATTCACTTGTCTTCATTTTCATTTCTGAGTTCTCTTTATAATTCCAGGACACAGGAATCAAAATGAGATAGATATCCTTCAAGAAGTAAGATTAAGATTCCTTTCATATGAAGAACTTATATGCTGGCAAATATGGGAACAATTTACAAGTAAATTAACCAGTAATCAAGACTTCATAATAAATCTTCAAGGCCAGAGGTCCAAGTTGCTAAAACAAGGTGATCCCCCCTGTCAGGTATGGACAGGAGAATATTCAGGTCTCTGAAGATGAGAACTATACAATAAAGGGGCAAGGGGAGAGTTCAAATAGCATCAAAAATCAAGAGCTTCCAATGAGGACCACCTGGGATTTCTGGAGGAAAATGTATCTGAGAGAACCACAGAATTATCAGAGTAGGTGTCAGCAAATTGATGTAAAAAATAATCTCTGTAAATGTGACCATTGTGTTACGCAAAGGATTGCTCATCAACATGATGGTCATGGAGTAAACAAAAGAGAGAAAGCTTTTAGCCACAATAATTGTGGAAAAGACTGTGTGAAGGAATCATCCCAACATAGCATAATCCAATCAGGAAAGCAAACCTCTAATGAGAATGGAAAAGGCTTCAGTGTTAGCTCTAATCTTGAACTTCACCAGCAACTACACTTAGAAGACAAGCCTCAGGTAAGTATCGAGTATGGGAAGGGCATAGGTTACATCTCAAGGCTTCCCAGGCATCAATGTGTCCACATAGGAGAGAAATGCTATCAGAATGGTGACAGTGGTGAGGGCTTCAGTCAGGGCTCACATGTGCAACCTCATCAGAGAGTCAGCACAGGAGAGAACCTCCACAGATGTCAGGTATGTGCCCAGAGCTTCAACCAGAACTCCTGTCTTCCCTCTCATGAGCTTACTCACCCGGGAGAGAAGTTGTGTACATGTGGCACGTGTGGGAAGGGCTTCCATCATAGCTTAGATTTTGACATTCACTGTATAGATAGTGCTGGAGAGAGAGCCTGTAAATGTAAATGTGATGTATATGATAAAGGCTTCAGTCAGACATCACAACTTCAAGCCCATCAGAGAGGTCACTCTAGAGAGAAGACATACAAATGGGAAGTAAGTGACAGGATATCTAATAGGAATTCTGGTCTTCATCAGAGAGTTCACACTGGAGAGAAACCATATACATGTGAGGTATGTGATAAGGGCTTCAGTAAGGCCTCAAATCTTCAAGCCCATCAGAGAATCCACACTGGAGAGAAACCCTACAAATGTGATGTGTGTGATAAGAACTTCAGCCGTAATTCCCACCTTCAGGCCCATCAGAGAGTCCATACAGGAGAGAAACCCTACAAATGTGACACATGTGGGAAGGACTTCAGTCAGATCTCTCACCTTCAGGCCCATCAGAGAGTTCACACAGGAGAGAAGCCATACAAATGTGAGACATGTGGGAAGGGCTTTAGTCAGAGTTCGCATCTCCAGGACCATCAGCAAGTCCATACTAGAGAGAAACCCTACAAATGTGATGTGTGTGGGAAAGGCTTCAGTTGGAGTTCACATCTTCAAGCCCATCAGAGAGTCCACACAGGAGAGAAACCATACAAATGTGAAGAATGTGGGAAAGGCTTCATCTGGAACTCATATCTTCACGTTCATCAGAGGATCCACACGGGAGAGAAACCCTATAAATGTGGCATGTGTGGTAAGAGCTTCAGTCAGACCTCACATCTTCAAGCCCATCAGAGAGTCCATACTAGAGAGAAACCATACAAATGTTTTGTGTGTGGTAAGGGCTTTAGTAAGAGTTCATGTCTTCAGATTCATCAGAGAGTCCATGATGGTGATAAATCCATTAATCATGATGAGTGTGATAGAGGTGCTCTTCAAGACTTAGACTTCTCATTTTCCTAGAAAATCCGCACAGCAGAGAACATTTATAAAATGTCATGTTTTAAGAATTCACGAGTGAGCTGAGTTTTTATAGTCATCTGAATTCCATTGAAGAAAACCTATTTTTTGTATGAATATGACCAGTTTCAAGCAGAGCTCAAAATGTCACAGTTGTCAAGAGAACACAAAACAGAGAAACCCTATAAAGAATGATACAATACATTTCAATCAGAACCTTCACATTCAATAAGCAATATGCAGGAGTGAAGACTTCAAAATGATAAGGTCAGAACTTTAGCAAAAGTATAATGAGGGACATGATAAAATCTGTGTCCACTAGAATCTAAGCTCCATGCAGGAACATTGTTTGCTGCTGTATGATCATGACCTTGAACCAGTACCTAACAAGTAGTGGCTTCCCTGGAATTGTTTAATTTGATAGGAAAAATCTATCATATATAGGACATATATTTGAACATTTTAGTGAGCTCAGCCCCAATTCGTCATTATAATTGTACTGGGAAAAGGATTCTTGCAAGAAGCCTTAAAATAAATTCAAGGAAATGACATTTAATTAAAACACAGAAAACCATGCAGTCTACAATTTGAGTAATATTTTAGCAATTGGCTTTTGTCCTCAGTTCAGCTTCATTTTTCAAGCAGTAACAGGCCAAAGTTTCTATCTGATCATTTAAGACTTTTTCCATACAGTGTACAGCTGTGCTGTGTTTCTTTGGTGGGGGCTTTGCTATCTTTCTTTCTGGGAGCTTTTGTGATAGAAAGAGACTGAATGAAGAAAAAAATCCCAACTGGTTTTTAGTTCCATAAAGCTTCATGAGAAAGGTTTTGCAAAAAAGGGGAACATCATATGGCATGCATTTTAGATGTTAGACTAACCTGTTAAGGACACAGCATTTTGGACAACACCCCACACTTCTCAGACACCATTACACGTTATGCAGTGTATAATGATCAAATCATAGTAATTGGATGAAGGGTTTACTCAGGTGTATTATTTAGTGGAGGTGGGAGAAAGTTTCCCACTGGTTTTTTTTGTCCTGAACCTTACCTTCCAGGACAATGAGTACTTAAGTTCCATGATATCTTGTTTCATGCTACCATCAGAAATACAGGGCCAATAAATGAAAAAGAAAAAATAAATAAAAAAGATAAAAACAAAGAAATACAGGGCCAATAATGCTCTGCTTTGTCACCACCAGATTACTAGGGTGGGCTGCTGGAGCTCATGGTTGTTTAAATCAAGATGTTTTCAATTGTGAAAAATAGAAAATCACACTCCAACTAGCTGGAACAAAATTTATTGGCATGCATAATTAAAAAGAAGAGGCTGGGCACGGTAGCTTATGCCTGTAATCCCAGCACTTTGGGAGGCTGAGGTGGGTGGATCACGAGGTCAGGAGTTCGAGACCAGCCTGGTCAACATGGTGAAACCCCGTCTCTACTAAAAATACAAAAATTAGTCAAGTGTGATGGTGGGTGCCTGTAATCCCAGCTACTCAAGAGTCTGAGGCAGGAGAATCGCTTGAACCCAGGAGGCGGAGGTTGCCATGAGCTGAGATGGCACCATTGCACTCCAGCCCAGGGGGCCGGTGTGAGACTCCATCTCAAACAAAACAAAACAAACAAAAAGAATACAGGTAGGACAGGACTAGGTCTGGTTGAAATAGGGCTCTGGGTCAATTCTTCTGTGATTCCCTCACCTCTGCCCTTCTGGTTGAGTTGATTCCCATATTGGTTCATTCCAACCTACTGAGGAAATTTACTTAAAGAATAGATGCTCAGTTAACATTCTCATATCACACTCCCTTTTCTGTGCACTTCTAAACCAGCTATTTTTTGAACCTCTTTTTGCTCTTCGTCATGTAGAGACTTTCATTTTCCTAAATATATCTAAATAAATATTCATAGAGGTACTGTGGGTTATGGTTTGCCATTTGAACCATGCATCAACCTTCTGGAGAATCTTTTAAAGTATATACATTTTTCCAGAGTAAAATTAATATTTTTTTCTAAAAATAAACACTTGAAATAGTTTTTATTAATATATTAATAGTTGTATATATTTATGGGATGCATGTGCTATTTTGATTTGTGCACATACAATGTATAATGATCAAATCATGATAATTGGGATATCCATCACCTCAAACATTTATCATTTCTTTGTGTTGGGAACATTCTAAATCTTCTATTTATTTTGAAATATACAATAAATTATTGTTAACTGTAGTTGCCCTACCTTGTTATTGATTAGATAGAATAAATAAGTTCTAGTGTTACTGACACTGTTCTATCTAATCATATTTTTGTACCCATTAACTAACCTCTCCATCTTTCCCTCACCCCTGTCCATCCCAACCTCTGATAACCACCATTCTAAATCACTTCCTCCTTGGGATCAATGTTTTTAGTTCCCATATAGGAATGAGAATATGTAAAATGTGTCTTTCTATGCCTGGATGATTTCACTTAACATAATATCCTCTGGTTCCATCCATGTTGCTAAAAATGACAGGAGAAAGAAAATGTGGTATATACACACACAATGGAATATTGTCCAGCCATTAAAATAATAAAATCCTGTCATTTGCATCAGGAGATTGTCTGGCTTTTGTTTTTATTTATTTATTTATTTATTTATTTATTTATTTATTTATTTATTTGAGACAGGTCTCAGTTGACCGGGCTGGAGTGCAGTGGTGCAATCTTAGTTCACTGTAGTCCCAACCTGCCGGACTCAACCAATCTTCCTCAGCTTCCTGAGTACCAGGGACTACAGGCATGCACCAACATACCCAGCCAATTTTTTATAAAGACGGTCTCACCATGTTGCCCAGATTAGTCTGAAACTCCTGAGCTCAAGCGATTCTCCTGCCTTGGCCTCTCAAAGTGCTGGGATTACAGGCATGAGCCACTGCGCCTGGCCTGAATAATTTTATCTATATATACTTGGTCTAAAGAGAAAAAGACCTGCAAACAAATCATGAACACTAACAAAGTTTGTTATGTGCATTCATGTTATTTGGCAACTCCAAAACTACTTGCCATGTACTGGAGAACTGAACAGATGAGTAAACATACTGATGATGCTGGGGGCCAATTTCTGACTCTTAGAGAAAGAAGTAAATATGGAATGGGAAAATACCTTAGCAAGAATCCTGCAATACTTATTTAAAATGAGAGGGATCATTATTTTGCACAGACACACACACACACACGACTATTATCCCAATAATGATTAGTATGCACAGCACCCAGATCTGGGTTTCTAAGTATCATTCCCCACTAAAAGCAATCAGAGCTCTACAGAATCTGTGGCTGGGACAGGGAATATACAAGATAAACCTAATATATTATTGTACCAGAAAACAAAGGTTCATATGGACAACAGACAGGTAGAGAGATATGGGGGTAGGGGAAGGAAAAGCTCTTCTAACAAACAGTAGGATGCCAATTCCTAAAAATAGAAGGAATGACAGAGTCAGAAGGTCATCATTTTGCAGTCATCACAATAATAATTGATTCAGACAAGAATCATCAATGAACACTAAAACTAGTGGGTGAAAGATGAGATCTTCCACACAAATTGCTCAAAGATCTTCCCGCAAATTGCTTACCAATTTCAAAGCCAAAATAGCCATTTTTTAGTGGAAAAACCTGGGAGACACCAGTTTATACAAGTTATCAATGCTAACACCAACAAAACACATCATGTGTTTCCTATTGTGATACACTGAGAAGTATGCATTATTCATGCAATACTCAATCTACAAACATTTAACTTGAATCTAATCATGAGGACTCAAACTCAAATTTAGGGTTGTTCTACAAAATAGCTTGTCTTCAAAAAGGCTCATGAAAGAAAAAATGGCTATGGAACTGATCTAGGTTAAAAACTAAAGAAATATGACAATGAAATCCAGGGCATGATACATTTTAGATTGGACCCTGAACTAGAAAATGCTGTAAACATTATAGGACAACTGTGGAAACTGAATAAACTCTGTAGATTAGGAAACATTACTCTATCAACCTACAATGGTCTTAAAATATGTTTACAGATTATTTTCCTACCCTCTTGATTGTGGATAGGGTTAGAACTGAGGCAGAAGTGATGTTGGAACTTCCAACGCTAGATTAGAAAAGGCCATAGTACATGCGCTGGCTTTTATCTGGATACTAGCTTTGAGCCACCATGTAACATCCAGTTTCTGTGAAGTCACCATGCTGAAGAGGTCACATGCCTGAGGAACCAAAGCTGTGTCGTTCTCTCAGTTCAGGCAGTAGACGTGGAAATGAACAGGCTTAACTGCAATCACATTAGAGACCCCAAGAATATGTGGGATTCTTTTGTATTATTCTTGCATCTTTTCTTAATGTTTAGAATTCAAAATAAAAGTTTTAGAACATTTAAAAAACATTACAAAAATGTTAAAAATTACTACACTGGCCCCCTTAAAGTAACAAGATCATATGCATACATACATATATACACACATCACATACACATATATACACATTCATACAAAATCCTGTCTCTGCCCACTTTCCTAAACATATTCTGAGTAACTACCAATGTCAATAATTATAAATTTACCTCCTCTCATTTCACTCTGTATTCCACTGAATGGATAAGTCATCAAATATTTTGTCAGTCCAACTGATAAATGCAAATTTTGCTATTATCAACAATGCAACTGTGAATATCGATTTACATACATCTGTAACGGAGTGTCTCAGTCTTCAAATGCATCTTAAAACTTTTTTCCCTTTCCTTCCTGATATGGTTTGGCTGTCCCCACCCAGATCTTGAATTCCCATGTGTTGTGGGAGGGACCTGGTGGGAGTTAATTGAATCAAGCGGTCAGGTCTTTCCTGTGCTGTTCTCATGATAGTGAATAAGTCTCACAAGATCTGATGGTTTTAAAAAGGGGAGTTTGGCTGGGCGCTGTGGCTCACGCCTGTAATCCCAGCACTTTGGGAGGCCATGGCAGGTGGATCACGAGGTCAGGAGTTCGAGACAAGCCTGACCAACATGGTGAAACCCCGTCTCTATTAAAAATACAAAAATTAGCCGGGAGTGGTGGCACGTGCCTGTAATCCTGGCTATTCAGGAGACTGAGGCAGGAGAATTGCTTGAACTTGAGAGGGGGAGGTTGCAGTGAGCCGAGATTGCACACTACATTCCAGCCTGGGTGACAGAGCGAGACTCCATCTCAAAAAAAAAAAGGTGGGGGGTTCTGCACAAGCTCTCTCTTTGCCTGCTGCAATCCAGAGACTCTGACTCAAAAACAAAAAAAAAAAAGAAAAGGAAAAAAAGGGGGAGTATCCCTGCACAAGCTGTCTCTTTGCCTGTCATCCATGTAAGACATGACTTGCTCCTCCTTGCCTTCCACCATGATGTGCCTCCCAGCCATGTCAAACTGTAAGCCCATTAAACCCTTTTTCCTGTATAAATTACCCAGTCTGGGGTATGTCTTTATCAGTAGCATGAATACAAGCTAATACACTTCCCAATCTCAGAACGTAGCCTTGTACTTTAAAACTCTTTGTATTTCCCTTTCCCACCAGGTACTTTCACGCACAGTGCTCGCTTATCTAATTATGTGTTTGCTTGGAAATTCCAGGGCTAATTATAAAACAGCCCAGACATAGAGACCCAGCTGCACAATCCTCTCACTTAGGGAGAGTTACAGTTAGTTCACCACTAATTGGGCCAAAATCAGGATGACACAAACTATTTCTCTGGATGGGCAATTACTCAAGATATCCACTGGAACAAGACATACAGATCTGCATTTTCCTGTGTCACTCCCACACATATGTCCCACACCAAGTTTTCCTTCTTAAACCCCCTCAGTCAACCCAAAAAGTAAGACTGGACTTTTAAGGCATGAGCTTGGCCATTCCCCAACTACTTGCATTTAATTAATAAAACTGCATTTCTTTCACTACACCTCACTTGTGTTTTCAGCCTTTTGAGTGGCAAGCAGTGGATTTTAGCTGGTTACAAGTTTCGTGCCCCATGTGAAGAACTGTGTGTTTTGAGCAGCTCAGCCTGTACACCTGGTTTCCAATGAATGGAGCAATTGGGCACAGCAGATGCCAGAACTTACCCATTCATGCTACCAGGCAGTACAGCAGTCACTTGCAAATGCTAGCTGCTTATGGCTAGCTGACCCTGCAGTTGGGACCTTACAGAATTCCCAAGTGTCAATACTCTTTGTCTTGGGGATTTGCCCTTCCCTCTTCTTCATGGCATCAGCTGCTATAATACTGTGTTGGAGTGAGGAAAGCCACATCTGGGAAGCTGATGGGCTTCAAGAACTGGGCAACCAGAGTGCATCCAAAAATCCTCTGTCTTTGCCATCTGGGCTTTCAGCCATCAGGACCTAATGCAGGTCACTCTATGGTCCCATCTGGGTTTGAGACAAGATCTCAGGACTTTTCTCTAAAATACCCTGAGTACCAGTCTGGAACACTGTCTACACTGGATCCATCTGTGGTTTCTGTTTAGTGGTACCTATCCTTCTGAGGGTGCTTTGGCAGTTTCCATCCCACCAGCCAAGACCAGGTCCAACTGATTATCAGAGGGTAGCAAGATAGGCTGCTCCTCTCCTTGCTAGGGGAAAAGCAGGTTTTATCATGTTGGCCACCAATTTTGTAACTCTGAGATTTTAGCATATTTTAGACACTTGTGTCAAGCTTTGTGGGGAGGAGAATGTGTGAGAATTCCTTTCTAGACTATCTGGGAATCCAGCTGGTTACATATCTATGGCCGTTTTTGTATACATTTTAAATTGATGGGAAAATTACAGCAGTAAAAATTCAGAGCTCAAATGATTAACCTGCAACTATAAAGTTAAGCAGAATCTTCTAAAGCTCTCTATTTATGTCTCTCTTTTGTTTTCAGCCTGTGTTGACTCTACTGTTAGTAAGCTACTGATGTTGAGATAAAACTCACTGTTTCAAAGTAATGTAGATAATTTTTTATTCTTATACAGTTCAGCTAGTTCTGGCTAAAATATAAACATTGCAAACTCCTTTAAAACTTAATTGTAAAAAGGTAAAAGAGGTTTTTAAAAATTAAAACTGCCATAAAAACTGTTTTACCCAAAATTTTGATCCACCGTTCTTCTTGGATTACCTATCAGGGCAAACAAAGTTTAGCCATGTAAACAGATTCCATTTCATAAAAAAAAAAAAAAAAAAAAATTTGGATACAGCTATCTTTTATAAAATGGTGTGTATTGCTATCTTACGGCTAGAACTCTAAGGTAAAAGCTATTGGATCTTTGTATATGTGTGTACATATTTAGATATGTTTTTTCGACTGCATTATTACATGTATGTAACATGTATTGTTATGTGTTGCTCTAGCATGCTACCAAATGGCCTTGTAAGTAGATGAGTAATTATAAATTAAGTAAGCACAAATGCTTTTCAAGTTCACATCATAAGATCTTCCAGGTACAATAAAAACATGGTTTTTAAAAATCAGTCCATTAGGTAAGGAATGTAACTTAGATGAATCGCATCCTCAGTACAAGGAATTGTCAAAAAAAAAAAAAAAAAAAAAAAAAAAAAAAATAAGATTAAAATGTCTTCAGAATTGTCAGCATACATTTTTGTCTGGGTAAGTAAGTTTTATAGCTTTATAGTTGCCTTGGCTAAATGTTTTAAGGTGTCACAGTTTGGCACAAAGGTTCTGAGACTATAAACCCAACTGAAAACAGAGTAATCTTTGTGCAATTTTTTTTTTTAAAAATAAACTTTACAACTGTTAGTTTAACAAAAACAGCTAAATCTTCTGAGTTACTGGCAAAATGCCCAGTGTTTAAGGTTCTTAGTTAGATGTATATCTGATATTCAGACTTTAAAAATGGTTAACAGGGAAATAACTTTAAATAATGACCAACTTTATGTGATATCTCAGTTTTCAATAGTAATCTAGATAGGCTGTTAAAAATGAGAAAATATTGAGTACATATAAATGAGATAAATGCTTATAGATTTTTTGTGTAATTTAAAACCCTAAAAATTTTAAATTAAATAATACTCATTCACCCTTTCTACTTTCCCATACATTAAGGCATAGAACGGTTGAGGACAGTGTAAATCCAGGTAATGGGTCAAGACCTTTACGAACTGAAAATAAAGTGCTACTAAAATCCTAGAGAAACCAAGGGCCAGACCAACAGCTAGCCAAAAAGTAGACAGTAACTCAACCATCCATTCATCTGTCAGACTGGACGGAATAAGACCATGGATACATCACACTAAGGTGAAGGCAGCTCCTCCTCAACCTGATGCCTCAGACAACCGGACTGCTTGGTCATGTAAACCAAGAGGACCTAAAGTTATTTATTAAAGAAAAATCATACAAATAAGTAACACCCTTCTGTTAACATGAATTGTTAATGAATTGTACAGTTATAAGTACATTCTTTATCTTTGCTAAAACTAACCTGTTTGCTGAATGGGCACAGCTGGTGAGTTACCCTAAAATAAGACTGTTGGGTCTGCGGGGTGCCACCCCTTTCTTTAATCACAGGCTTGCCATGGTGCATACAAACTGCTAACCTGAGCACTTGAGTATTTTTATACTTGGGGTAAAAATACTCACCTGTTTCCCTTCTATGATTAGAGCAGCACTTACCATGAGTTCCCCACCTCTGAGAAAACACATAAACATATTTTCCTTCTGTTTCATAAACAGGTTAACGCCACCCCCACTACAGGATATGCCATACACGATGGCATAGGATGGCTGATGGCAGCGTAAATCCAGGTAATGGGTCAAGACTTCTATGCACTGAAAAACACAGTAACAGTACACCCTGCACTATCCCCCACGATATGGGATGATTACCTCTTCAACAATGTGGCCAAACCCTTGGACTGACTAATAACATGTGACCAGGACGCACAATCAAAATAGCATCCACCTCCATAACAGAGCCTTATCCTTCCCCCTGGGGTTTGCTATGGGTCTGCAGCACTCATGGTTGGCCTTACTGTTGGGGACCAGCCTTAACACCACCCGTAGGGTACCCGAAGTCCAGTGGCAAAGTGGCGACAAAGGAATGAGAAGACACAGGTTGAGTTCATAAAGGTGGGAGCCAGGGGGCCAGAGCAAATCAGAAGCTGCAAAGGCCCAGAGTTTCGGTCTCTACACTATTTATTGAGTATAATCACTTAGATCTAAGATGTTCAGGGCAAACCAGTGAAAGGGAGGCAGTGCGTTATACGCGTGATCTATAGCAGTGGTGGTTTAAGTGAATCTCCTTTGTGCTTAAACAGTGTTATCTTTAATTTATCGGAGAGTAGCTGGTGGGAGTGGGCTTAAATAGGAGCCTGCATATCTGTCTACACCTCAAGGCTTTAAAGGAGTGTCTTTTTTCTTGAACACAGTGTTTACAGGTAAGACAGCAAGTCTCGCTCTGAGTATGGGAACATGATGGCAATTAGGAGGCTTTCTTCCTCAGAGGCCTCTTGTGGCTTTCCACAAATTATTGTCCCATATTTTTATGGCCAGTTTATGTAGGCACCCCACAAGCCCTTTTCCCAACACTTACAACTGGACTGGTAGGCGCACCTTCCCTACCAGGATGTATCCTTTCCCATTTAGACTCTCTCCATGCCAACTGGGAAAGTGTAAAGGCTAGACAACCCCATCAAAAATAGGCATCAAGGTAGTTGTACCCACTAGGCTTCCCCCCCCCCCCAGGCAGTGGCCATAGATGTAAAATTACAAATAAAAGACCTGGTTAAACATACGGCTGCTACTTTTAATAATATCCATCATGCCATTCCCTTTCTCACTGAAAGACCCTCACAAGATTAGACAAGTGGCCCTGCACTGGCCTGGCCAACATAGTGAAACCCTCTCTACTAAAAATACAAAACTTAGCTGGGCATGGTAGTGTACACCTGTAATCCCAGCTACTGGTGAGGCTGAGGCATGAGAATTGATCTTGAGAGGCAGAGGCTGCAGTGGGCCAAGATTGTGCCATGGCACTGCAGCCTGGGTGACACAGCAAGACTGTCTCAGGAAAAAAAAAAAAAAAAGACTAAGTATTATGTATATATACCACATTATTCTCACAATATGACCCAAGCTATGCATGCATTGGACACCCATATTTCTGATACAGATATAGGATCCTCTCCCAGGACCCTTGAACAGTGTGGTCCAGCTGACTTCCTCATAAAAAGACTTTCATATACAGTATGGTTGGTATTCTTCTCATTGTCCTCATCAGCTGCTGTGGATTTTACCTCTGTTATACACTGAGGACAGACTTTCTCAAAAGTTCCTAGGTCCTTGGTCCTCCCACTGTTAAGGCTCCAGCAAGTTCCTGCTACAGATCTGGGAATGCGGATATATTTCCAACTCCAAGTGAATAGATTCCATTCTGGTACTTCCCAACTACGCCCCCTTGCAGCAGGAAGCAGCCAGATTAACTGTGTTGCCCACTTTCCATAAAAATAGGATGAAGTTCGACAGTGGGGAATTCTAACAGAGTATTCCAGCTTTGAAATGCATTTAAAAACTTTTCTCCCTTTCCTCCCCAATCTCAGAATGTGGCCTTATATGTTAAAACTCTTCATCTCTCCCTTTCCCACCAGGTACTTCATGCACAGTGCTCCCTTGTATAATTGTGCTTACTTAGAATTCCAGGGACTAATTTTAAAGCAAAACAGACACAGAGACTAAACAAATCAGCCGCGCAATCCTCCCACTTAGGGGCAGTTATGAACAGTTCATCCACCACCCCTGGGCCAATATCAAGATGATGCAAACTGGACTCCAGATGGGCAGATTACTCAAGAAAACCATCAGAAGACGACATGCAAGACCTGCACCTGACTGCACCGCTCCCACTTATTTCCCACACCAAGTTTCCCTCTTAAACTCCCTCACTCAGCCCAAAACGTTGGAATGGTCTTTTAAGGCATGAGCCTGGCCATTTCCCAATTGCTAACATTTGATTAGTAAAACTGCTTTCCTTTCACTACATTTTGCTTTTCATGTTTTCAGCCTCTGAGTAGCAAACAGCTGGACTTAAGCCGGTTACACATCCATAACACAGGATTACATGCCATATAATGAGATAAAGCAAACAAGATTTAGCTGTAAGGGATTATCAATTTTATCAAAGTGAATCACTTTTACTTTGATAAAATTGAAGTCACCATAATTTTTTGAACAGTTAAAATATCATCCCAACCTTCCATGTCACAGTAAACAACTGTTAGCATATTAATATCCTTCTATTATTTCTATGCATATAATCACATCATTAGGTGGACAGACTTCTATTAATTGGATCCATCCCAGGAACGAGCTAACCTAGTTTTCTTATGAATAATGTTTTCTCTAGTCATTATAGACCTCTGATCATCTTAATGGCTGTATATTATAAGGATTTATCAAGACTTACTCAAATATTTTACTGACATTTTCCTTTTTGAATTCAGGATAAAGATCCTTGTGTACAATCTTTCTCGCTTTTGTCACAATCTCCTAAGTGAAATTTCTAGTGCTAGGACTGCCAGGTCAAAGAGTATTTATTGTCCACTAATACCAAGAGGTGTTAAGCATAGAATGCTGTGTAAACAGTAATCCATCTAAATCATTACATTGAATACAATTTCAAGGTTGGGCACAGAGGTTCACATCTATAATCTCAACACTTTGGGAAGCCAAGGTGGGAGGAATGCTTGAGGTCAGGAGTTTGAGAACCTGGGCAACATTGCAAGGCTCTATTCAACAGAATAAATAAACAATAAGATAAAATTCCAATAAAGACCCAACAGGTTTCTTGCCCTGCCACTTCCTTTTAAGGGGATAAATGTGACAAATTAATGTGCTTGAAATCTGCCAAAGCTCCTTCTAAAGTGGTCTAGATGCAGGAAAGACTATACATAGAAAAGCAAGTAGACCTGAACCTGAATGAAAATAATGAAACCAATGATTAACAATTCAAGTTTACTAAGAAACTTTTTGTCATCAGTAACTACTTTTAACACTTTCAGAGTTACAGTAAAGCTTAGTGTCCAAAAATTCTAATCATGTAAATTGCAGGGTCACATTAGATAAAAACAGTATTGTCCAGTCTACAAACTAATGATGCTAAAAATCATACTGTACACAACTGATACACTGTACAAAGAACTAAGGCTGAAGGATGGGAGCCAGTCGTGTCTTTTTTCCAAATCTGTATTAGTATGGATGGCAGTATTACACACTTTTCAGTACTTACTGAAACTAACGTTATTAAGGCTACTTGCAGGATTCCTCTTGAATATAAATTAATATAAATTTACGGTACAAAACAGACTAGAATTTTCAAGTATTTGTCCTAATTAGAGGTATTTTCTTCACTTTCTTCAGTAATTGCTGGGCCCTATTATGAGCTAAGCACAATTCTACATGGTAGAGATACAGTGGTGAAAAACACCTCCTTACATAGAGGTTACATTTTAGTTGACATCAATTTTTTCTGTCAATCATATTTTTGTTAAAGGCAGGCCTCTCTCCTGCGCAGACTCTGACAAGACTTTTCTGCTGTGTTACATCTTGAGAACTGGGACACTTGGTAACTCTGATATAAACACTGATCATATTTACAGAACAAAGTTTTCTCTCATCTGTGAAATATGACGTTTGTAAAGAATTCATGTCCTGACCAAGTCTAAAACACAGCATTTGAGAGACTTCTTTCCCGTCAAGATTCTTTGAAGCTTCTAGTTTTACAAGAACTTTTCACAATCATCAGCATGGACTTCCCAACGGCGACAAAGATGTGAGCTCTAACTGAAGGCTGAACCACACCTCTCTCATTTCTACAGATTCCCTCCAGTGTGGACTCTCTGATGGTAGACGAGATGTGACCTCTGACTGAAGCCCTTACAACAGACATCACATATGTAAGGCCTCTCTCCAGTGTGGACTCTCTGGTGTGTGTGAAAATGTGAGGCCTGACTGAAGCCCTTCCCACACTGCTGACATGTATAGGGTTTCTCTCCCGTGTGGACCCTCTGATGAGCACTGAGACCAGCACTCCAACTGAATTCTTTCCCACATTCCTCACATTTAAATGGTTTCTCTCCAGTGTGAATTATCTGATGGACTTGAAGATTTGACCTCTGGCTGAAGGCCTTACCACAAGTGTCACATTTATATGGTTTCTCTCCGGTGTGGACTCTCTGATGGGCTTGAAGGTGTGAGGCCTGACTGAATCGCTTCTGACATGCATCACACTTGAATGGTTTTTCCCCAGTGTGGACGCTCTGATGGGCTTGGAGATTTGAGGCCTGACTGAAACCCTTACCACACTCTTCACATTTGTAGGGTTTCTCTCCCGTGTGGACTCTCTGATGATTGTGAAGATTCAAGCTCCAATTGAAGCGCTTCCCACACACTTCACATTTGTATGGTTTTTCTCCAGTGTGGACTCTCTGATGTGCTTGAAAATATGAACTCTGACTGAAACCTTTACCACACACGTTGCATTGAAATGGTTTCTCTCCTGTATGGACCCTCTGATGGCTCTGGAAACTTGAGGCTGAACTAAAACCCTTACCACACTCTTCACATTTATATGGTTTTTCTCCTGTGTGGACTCGCTGATGACTATGAAGATTAAAGCTCAAACTAAAGCACTTACCACACTCATCACATTTGTATGGTTTCTCTTCAGTGTGGACTCTCTGATGGGTATGAAGATTTGAGCTACAACTAAAGCGTTTACCACAATCCCCACATTTATAGGGTTTCTCTCCGGTGTGAATTCTTTCATGGGCCTGAAGATGTGATCTCTGAGTGAAGCCCTTCCCACACACCTCACATTTATAAGGTTTCTCTCCAGTGTGAACTCTGCAATGAATGTTAAGATCTGTGCTACGACTGAAGCCCTTCCCGCAACTGTCACATCTATAGGGCTTCTCTCCTGTGTGAATAGGCAAATGAGCATAAAGATGTGAGCTCTGATTAAAGCTCTTACCACACTCGTGGCATGTATAGGGTTTCTCCCCTGTGTGGACTCTCTGATGAGTTTGCAGATTTGAGCTCTGACTGAAACCTTTACCACATTCATGACACCAGTAGCGTTTTTTTCCAGTACGAACACTTTGTTGAACAGGAATACGTGAGCTATGACTGGTGTCCTTCTCGTGCGTACTATACGCTGGAGACTTCTTTCTCAAGTGTACCTGCTTATGAAATTCGAGACTGGAGCTATCATTGAAGGCTTCTTCACATTCATTACCCTGGTAGGTTTTCTGTCCTGTGTGAACACTACACTGGGTAAGAGGTGATACCTTTAGAGTATCTTTACCACAGTCACTATTGCTATGAGCTTTATCTCTTTTGTGCAGTATCTTATCATCACGGTGGTGTGAAATGCAACTGAAAATGTCAACATATGGAGCAAATATACATAATTGGTTTTTCATCTGAGTCTGCTTACAACTTCTCTGATAATTCTGTGTCTCATTCAGATATATTTTACTCCAAGAATTCGGAACTTTCCCAGTTGGAAATTCTTGATTTTCAATGATCCTGGAATGATCCCCTACGTGATTCACTAGAAGGCTGTCATCCACAGAAGCTTGAACAGATTCTCCTGCTCCCACCTGACAGGGGGAATCATGGTGCTTGGGGAACTCAGAGCTCTTTCCTTCAATATTTATCATGGAGTCTTGACTTCTGGCTAATTTACTCACAACATGTCTCTTGATTTGCCAGCATGAAAGCTCTCCCAGTGAAAAGCACCTTAATCCTGCTTTGTGAAGAGTCGCCATCTCGTTTTGATTCCTGTCTCCTGAAAGGATAGAGAGAATAAGGAATAAAGGACCAGAGACTGACATTAGCAAAGTAGAGAAATTAAGAAGATCTAAGCTCTAATTTTCCCCATGGAAATGTTAAAAAAACAACTAGACTCGCTGAAATAAATTTATAGGAGCTCCGAAAAGCAGCTGCAACCAAGAGAACACTAAATTTTTTTTAAAGCCATATTTAAGAGAGAAAATTTGAGATCAGCCCAGGGTGAGTGCTTAAGGTATATCTTGGGTCTTTTCTGAGTATGTGTCTTGCTGTCTGTGTGTATTCTCCAGTATACACAACTCCAAAATGAATGCTTTGTCCAGATGTTTCCAAATTTTACACATAGTTCCTTCGGTATCGGGCTTTAGTTTGTGATGGAAATTTTCAGCTTATCTTTACCATCATGGATTTTCTTGGATTTTATGGCCTGTGGAAACACAGACCTACAGATCTAAGAATAGGACAGGGGGTAGAAACCAGCCAGCTGCAGAGCAACAAAATGATATCTCAGTAAGTACTTGGAAAGGAAAAATTGACTTCCTTGCCTATAAGAATGGTAAATTAAAAGTCACCTCTTCTTTGGCTACAGGAACTGAATCATAAGTAGCAACTACATAAATCAGGCAAAATACATGCCTCAATTATAGGCTCTCATTATACAACCTGCACAGTTAGAAATGTGCTCAAAATAACTGATAGACAAATCCATATTTATAGCTGGAGATTTCAATACCACTTTCCAACAGCTAACAAAGCAAGTAGGAAGATGCATGGTGGCACTCATGTAACCCAGTCCATGCTGTGAAATGGACAGCTGCCCTGGCCCCTTGGGGGTCAGAAGTCACCATGCCAAGGACTGTGTGAAGGGCACTAAGTTCCACTGGGACCCAAGCTCCAGTTCTTGAGAAGCCAAGAGAAGGGAGCACCAGACTTCCTTCAAACAGTGGTGCTGGTAGCCTCCAAGTCTCTTCCTCCAGGCCGCCTGTGGATATGCCATCCAGAAACCAGTCCAGCCCAGCCAAGATGATGACCTGTGCCCTTGTACGCTGCTCAAAGACTACCAGAACTTTCCCAGAATTGAGAAGGTTGATGACGCTGTGAAGACACTTGTCTTTGGAGATGGCTAACCAGAAGCCAAAAATTAAGCCGAATAGTTCATTAAAAAGGACATGGCAAGCCCTGAGGACACC